TAGGGAACAACTGGGTTCTAGAGTAATTGAGAACAATCACAACAAAAAAAGCAGTTAGGTACACTTCTGTTAAATATCTGCATCACAGTGGGATATGAACATTTACAGGCTAAATAGGAAAGAAAAAAAAAAACTTTAAAAGGTTCAGTTGATGGAGGATAAGAGAAAAACTAAGAACATGTGGTAGTGTTACCAAACTCAAACTTGGCTGCTCATTGCTCAAGAATCCAATACTGAGAGGCAAATATTGGGTAAAAGGAAAGATAGCATTATTGAGGAAGCTAGCAGTCCTGGGGAGAAGGTGGACTATGGCCAAAGAACCAACTCCCAACTCCCTAGGTTTTGCTTGGAGATTATACAGGGTAAAGTGGAAAAGGGCTACATGCTGAGGAGAGGGTTTGGGGCCACATGATCAGTACATGGACATTCTTCCAATTGGTTGGTGGTGAGGTAACTGGGCATCAACATCATCAACCTTCTGGTTCCAACTGGTTTGGGGGTCTACATGCTTGTGGGCAGCATACAGTTAACATCTTCCACCTGGTGGGCGTCTCACTATCTGCAAGACAGCTCAAAGGGTATGGCTCAGAATGTTTTCTATAGCCTTTAAGGAGGAACCAAATGTCCTTAACTGTTTAATGGCTAAACCATCATTATTTTGTCTTATTTGACTATTTTCCTTTGTTTCTGCATTTTCTCATTTCTCTGATTGAATTTATTGTTTGGCTAAAGGTTTTCTACAGACAAGAAGCAGGTGAAGGACATTGGCGGTGGGGGGTGTGGGGGGGTGGGTCCTGTCCCTGGAAGGCCCCATAGGGTCCTGCTCAGTTACAGTAGCAAAATGAAAAATACTTTTTAAAAAGATGAGTAAGAAAGACTAAAGTGTCCTTTTGGCTTAGCAACAGAGGTCTTCAGTTATCTTGGAAAGGCAATTTCAGTGTTAATAGGGTAGAATTGGGGGTGAAATGGAATGATGGAAGCTAGAGGTGAGGAAAGAGAAAAATTTTTCCTGAACATTCATTTATTCAACAAATATTTAGCACCTACAGAACTGCTCAAGTTTTATGCATACAATAGTAAACAATTCTCCTTGCCCTTAGTAAGCTTAGGCTGTGGAAGAATGTGTTTAAATGCCAACGGCAAATGTAAAAAATTAATAAACAGAAACCTCAATTAAATAGAGTTGGGAAACCAGAAGAGGGAGCTCTCACACCCTGCTGACCTCAACAGGAAGAAGAAAGACTTCTTTCCCGGCAAAGTCTCAGCCAATGAAAAGCCATGGGTTTTTTTGTTTACTAAAACCCTCACAACTCCCTTTCCCCCTCTGTATCAGCTTTCTTCTTCCCTTGCCAGTCTGGGTCTTGCATGTCTCCCCCTGGCTGCAGACCCTGAGTTGCCATGCTCTGCTGATCCCTGAGTTGCAGACCCTGAGTTGCCATGCTCTGCTGATCCCAAATAAACCCATCTTTGCTGGAGAATTATCCGGTAGTTTCTTTGTTTCAGATCAACACAAAGAATAAGAAGGAAAAGTTGAAAATAGGTTGAGAGAAGATATGTAATTTATGATAGGTGCAATGAACGTGGCAAGGATCCAGGGCAAAGGTGGAGGGCTTCACTTGGGCAAGAACAGTTTTTATGAGCTGGTAGAGACCAGAGTAGGAACAAGGAAAGGATCTAAGCCTTACTTAGGAAAGCTTTCCTCTAATGACCAGCTGCTGAGCTCAGACTGTTACCACAACTGGTGGTATATGAATCCAGGGGAGGGAGAGAAAGGGAAGATGGACTAACACCAAATGCTTCCTGCTG